TTCTCATGGACACTGTGATCGGAGTAGTAGAATAGTATCTCAGTGAGTCTTTACATTTTTATTCCTTTTCACCTCAAGTTTTAACGTTTTTCTTCGGGAATAACATGAACACTATGTATCACAGTCTCACGCATTCACTGCAGAGACGAGGCCATCACAAAAAAGGAAATGTTACTGGAATTGACGCTAGAAAAAAAAATAAACAGGATGGAATGTAACGCCTATGTTGTACGCTTGAATAGATGGTACTGATGATTTCTAATATGGGAAGATCTATTGGTTGAGTCGATGATTCAGATGTCGCATTGGATAGATGCGAAATTTTCCGGAAGCCATATTTTTAAAAATGACAAACTCCATTGCAAGTGGTTGAAACTGAAATTTCCATAGTCTCTGCTGATAAAGTAATAAAAAAAAGATTATAGGCGATAAATGGATGTACGTAGAGAAGAATCTGTAACTGTGGAATACCTTTTCCGAACTGCTTCTCACGTTTTCTCGTTTGGAAATTGTAATTTATGGTGTTGCCAAACGGGTAAATTACGGTTTTAAAAACGCAAATGACGAATTCGAAAATGCGAATTAAGATTTTGAACGCGTAAATTGCCGGTTTCAGATCGTAAATTGCATTCCGAATAACATAAATCAGATTTTGAAAAAAGGTAAATTACACTTCCGTGCGCATCATTTACGAGGTCACATGGGTAAAAAATCCAACACTTCGAGGTCTCTCAGAGCGTAAATGGACGTTTTATTTTTGTTTGAATTTTTTAAAAGTTCCCCAACTATAGCATAAATGAATGAAAAATAACAATTTTATTGCAAAATTCAGCTGAGATGGCTCGAAGTTATTAAAACTAGTGAAATTTCTCATTTTTCCACTTTACTGGAAAAGTGACTTTCCCGCACATTGGGAAGAAAAATATTGTTCGCAACTCGTGCAGAAAGTTGTTTTTGGGATTTGGGATTATACCACTCACCTCCGGCTCTTGCGATAAACTTCCCACGCGTCAAAAAGCACTTTCCCACACTTGTAAGGAAATACACGATTTCAGCTTCATTTTACCAGGAGTTCAATTCCCCACTGGACGAAACAATGGATTGCTTAGATCTGGGCGGCCGGAGGTAGTAGACTGGAAAAACCAAAAGATACGCGAAAAGAGAAATTAAGGAGAGACGTGACTATAACGGAATTCCACTGTACTTACCAAACTCGACAACTTGAATAATCATAACAGAAGAATATTATCCGAAGCACAGCGATGGGAATAAATACTATTTTTTCAATTTTTTCTGTAAATTAGTCGCCCAGGATTCTGGATCATGGGTAATTTACCCACTATTACACAATGAAGCGTTTGATAATCTATACTTACATTTGTAGATCTCAAAATGGTTATCTTATCCGTTGGAGGTGGTAAAAGACGCATATGAAAAAAGATAAATTACCGTTCTGATAAGTTCTCTGCAGTGAAATTGCTCGACGTGCATTGGTGTCAATGGAAAATATCATCGAGAGTGAATTCATCAATTGTTTACGAAAACAGATTGAGGACTTCATATTAACCAATTTTTTGTCCATGCAAATTAAATATTCATTAAAGATTATGATCATCAGAACTTTCATCTCCGAACAGCTACCTGTGAGTGATTAATACACTTTTAATTGAATGGATTTATCAGTGATATCTGATGAATAAGTGTGACAGGTAAATTGAAAAGTGAGAAACAAACATTTTATGTTTTTAAATTAATATATAATTTTTAGTCATGTAGAATTTTCCAAGGATGGCGATCAGGGAGAAGGGAGAAATAGGCGGAGGTAGGGATATTTCTTGTTTGGCTCTAAGAGTGTACAATATACAATACAAGCCGTAAGAATTATGAGTCGGGAAAATGATAAGGCCGCTCACGGCCCTCTTTTATTGCATTCTTATTTTTATTTTATTGCGTTTCCTCACGCTTTTTTTTTATTTTTATTTCTATAAACCTGCAGAAGGACCCAATCGATCTGACGCAGCACCACATATGCTCTTGGAAGAAAAGACATGTTTGAGCAAATGTATTCACAAATATCATGCATTTTATCTCACAATTTTCCGATGGTTTTACTATTGGAAAATTTACTGCAGATCAATCAAGTCCCAATTATTATGTTTCAAACAGAAAATTTTCCTCTAATTAATACAATTTTGAACTCAGTGGTTGTTCCTAAAATTTGACAATTTATTTTTCAACATTGATCGACGCTTTTTTGTTCTTTATCGAGATTAATTTGACCGAGTCACATAAATAATTAAATTAGATAAACGAAAAAAATACATGATCCAGGCAAAAATATTGGTTAATGTAACTAAACCATTGGACTCTATAACTTTCGGAACATAAGAGTGATTCTGAGAAAAAAAAATAGATTAAAAGTTATTGAAAGCAAAATAGCGATTAATTAATCATTTCGGGAATTTCTCGGTTGCTTCATTACAATGTTCATCAAGACAAATCATTCGATAAATGACGAATTATTTTGCGGCTAGACTACACAGAGAAATTTTTTTTGTCCCAGTGCTAGTCCCAGTGCTAGTATTCGATAACTCATAATCTATAGAGTATGAGAAATAATAGCGCTATTCAAATAAAATTTCTGGTTGCTTTTGATAGAATTTTTAGAGATTTATGGAGAAATTTTATATCAATATGAGAAAAATTTGTGTGTGACCCCATAAAATTCGCAATGCCAACACTGGAATTTATTACCTGACAGTGTCCGCGCCTTTTCACGTAGTAGCGCTCGAATTTTTGTAAAGAATGTCTCCGTGTAGCTTAATGATTACCGTCTTTCATTGAAATAATTTTGAAAACTGCTAAACGTTCATTGAAATTTGTCAAAGAACTCACCCACTGGATGTGGATTGTTTAATGATACCATTTGTTGAGTTTTTCTTTATTTCCGACATGAATTTCTATGGTTCATACAATGTTTTCTGCAAGAGTCTTGAACACCGAGAAATTCCATAAATAGAGTATTCAGACAGCAACTCTCGTTTTACCAGAAAAAAATTCAAAGTTTTACCAATTATTAGACGGAAGAAATAATCTATATCGTAAACATGAAAATTGTTTTCAGTGAGGGATTATATAGTGATACAAAAGAAAAGAAGGATATAACTGGATTTAACCAGAGAAAAGAGGGAAAAAGTTGAAAAGAGAAAGATATTGTTAATATTAGTGAAGGTGAATTGTAGGCTCACTCACTTTACGACTATCACATGAACGTTTTTCTCCTCTCATTATTCGATAATTTAAACCATTATTAAATCATTATTCCTGAGTGAAAAGAACGCAAAAGAGATGGGATGATCTCGTTGAACAGAACAAAATTGCGAGTCGATCGAGGCAACGTCTCTTTGAGATTTTCTAGTATGATCCTTTCTTTTACTTTACTCATAGTTTTGCGCAAAATCAGGGCAGCGTGCGCTTTATGCATTTATACGATTTTTTTACTCCGCTCTAATGAATTATCTTAATCATATTCATTAATTAATATGGAGGGGATAGTTGTATTTATAATATTTATATATAATATTAATATCCATAAAGTCTATATGTATATATATCACTAGGGTACATATGTACAGTTCAGGGTGGGGGCTGCATAGAGTCAAAAGTGCTCACACCATAATCTTAATCCTTTTTTTTCTCAGTTTCATTCTCCTCTCTTCATTCTTACATATTGCAATAATTAATCATGAATTACATAAATTCCTCTTTAAGCCTTATTTCGTTTCTCCTCATCATCATAAACGCAAATTACAGGCAATATAAGGCAAAATTTACCACTGATTTTTTGTTTGTCGATGAACAATTGGAGAAATGAATAACACAGAGAGATGGTAGAATTTGAGAAAATACATGCCACTGTCTGTTTTTCATGTTGCAGAGACATTTCGAAGAATCCCAAAATGAAAAAGTTGCAGTGGGATCGAATGGAACTGCTATTGGCGAGCCGTAGAAGAAATTATTCCGGGCACTTGATTGAAACTATGTACACACGTCACACGCGAACTTTGAGAATTGTTTAATCTAAAATTTGTATCCTTTTCAATATCGAAATTGATATTTTTAAAAGTTTGAGTTTATCCTAACCATCACTTGTCTCGTTAAATTGCACTTTAATAATAGTTTTCGACATTATTCGTTGGGTTTGTATGATAGTAACGCCCGTGAATTTCAAACTGTCGGCTACGATGGTTCAGAGGTTGAATCGGGCTCACGTTCAATTTCCTCAGTGGAATCATCGGCGCTCGTAATATCGAGATCCTCATCTTCTGGATCGACCTTGGTACTACTCACAGGCTCGTTCTCTTGTCACGGACTCCCACCACCACCATCCGCTTCGTTTCTATGTCCAGGAGTTAAACTCGGGCTTCTTCTCCTCTTAATATTTCGCCTCTCTTGGAGACCATTCACCATATTCTCAATAGATTTAAGTTCTCCAGCTGATATTCCACTATTTGATGTTAACGAAACTCCACTCCCTGGTGTTGGAGATCCTGTTGGAGGTCTTGGAGGTGGTGATCTAGGACTCAGGGTTCTACTCCCAGGTGTTACTGTTTCAAATGCAGATCCATGAGATGGCGCTGGCAGTGCATAGGGGGCGAACCTGTGCCCCTTGAGTTGATGAAGAGGACTTGAGAGGGGATGAGGATAATGGCCAAATAATGCTGGATGTTGGGAAGCAGCCAACGCCAATTGAGCATTGAGCAACATACTAGGAGTCACTCCACTATGAAGCCCCAAAGGATTCGGAGGTATCAAAGGACCTGGCCCAGGATATAATCCTGGGACAGAAGGATAAAAATATGGCAGCAATGGTGGATGTAAAACTGGTGGGCCCACTGAGATATCAGTTCTTGGACCCTCTGAGGTTGGACCACCAGGCATTCCACCACTCTCCGATCCCGACGATTCACTACCCTCACGCTCACTTGTCCTATCATCTCTCTCCCTTGAGTGCTCGCGATGATGTGCAGGATGCGGCGTGTCTGGCCCTACCACGTCTAGTAACTTGTCCTCATCATCCAGCATATCATTCACCGAGTTTGACGACCTGCGTTTGTCTGGTGATGCTGGTGCACCTGACGTTAACCGAGAACCGCCGCCTGATACGGTTAACAGCGCCTGTCTTCTGCAACAACGACTCAGAGTTAGCAATTATGGAAGAATTAGCTTTATATTTAATCCTATTAGTACGGAAAACGAATAAGAAATTCAATTTTATGGCCTTTCTTCTTAGGCCACTGAAGAAATGTCAAGTTTTAGCAAATGCCCACCGATGACGTTCGTTATTTCCCAGGTTGAGTGCAACTATTTGTGATACTTCTCATCTAGCCAAATTGGTAGTTTCAGGAAGTATGAGTCCAGTACTGAATGCTAGACATTCCGATATTTTTCACAAGGTAAAAAACACTAGTATCCAATACCTTCTACTAGCGAAAAATATTTTTTATTTTAGTGTCATTAACTTACTCCCTTCTGTTATAAAAATAATACAATTTTCTATAATTCAGATCTCCTCCGCGAAGTTTAAAATTAGTGACGTTATTTAAGTTGTTACTCACAACGGTCATGCGATATCAGTAAAACAGCAATAGATTCCAACAACTTGTACAAACGAAACGTTTGTCCATGTTACAAGATACAATTGGATATTCCTCGGTGAATTGTGACCGCAAAGCTATCAACCAGTTTTCTTGGTAATGATAACTACACTTATTTACTCGGTACGTCTCGAGTTGTCGGTGGGATAAACACAATCTCACAAAAGTATCGGTGAGAGTATGAAAGAAGGATTTATGGTGACGTTGTGGCAGCATCGATTGCCCTGTGGCGTACACAGGGCATTAAATTAATTGTCTTAATCATACTGCGAACGCTTTTCCTAACAGAGTGCAAAACCTGAGGCAGCTCGGTGTCCACCTTGTTCTACTGCCTCTCGGTATGCCTTCATATAATTTTTTACTTCATTTCTCAAGTTGTTCTTTGTAAGGCTCAATGACAACGATTATGTATAAGTTCTCTCGTGTTGTTGAAAAACGCGTGTCACGACCTCACAATGGAATATTATGTGCCTTGCTCGAACCAAGAACATTTGATTTATTCACTAGGCCGTTAGGAACTTTTCGGCCGAGTGACGAACGATACTTTTTGTCCTTCAGCCCGTAGGCAGAGTTTTATGATCGCGAGCGGTTGTAAAGTGTTGCCTTACGGACTCAGTGACAAAAAGAACTCTTGTGACGACTGTGTTTACATCGTCGGCTTCACCTCGAACTGCAAACTCACAATCACCAGAAAAGTTCCTAATAACTCATACTGATGAAACATACCATTTAGATCGACCGACATGAAAGCTTCAGTCAAAGGTTTTCCATAACTATGATATTATTATATTATTGTTCCATCCTTATTATGCTTCATTTAAGCGTAATTATTTCGCAAATCAATGCCCTACTTTCTCCAGATTCTATCATGGTTGGATAAATCCCCGTAAAATTTCTTGGATCAACGAATCGAAAAGAAAATACATGAGATAGCAACATTTTCCTCATCCTCCTTCTCATATTTCAAGAAAGTAGTCATTAGTGATAAATTTCACTTGAAATATGAAATTCCATAAATATTATAAAAAAATTTAAATTCCTTTTATTGTTTAATCCCTTTGCCGTGTATTACCGATTTAGTTAAAGTAAAAAAATAATCATGTTCACCCGTTTTATTGGAATGCTCGAGGAAAAATCAGATCAACCCCTGATTCCTACCACCTTACTTCACCCTTTAATCAACCAGTCATTTCACACCTCTAACCATCACAAATTGCAATCCTCTTTGCCGCGGCACATTCATACATACACACAATCATACATACGTACATACATATACACACAATTGCAGCCCTCACGTGTCTGTGCAAACAAGCGGCTCGCACGCACGCCCCGTCGTTAGTCCCGCGTCTCGCCTCCAACTATTTATTTATTCCTGTGTTATTTTATTTTTCAACCGTTGTTGTTTCACTTTTTTTATCCTCTCGTTTTTATTTGACCCCCGGTTAGCCCCGGGGGCGCGTCGATCGGGCGATAGACTCGTTCGTGTTTATACCGTATACTGCGTGACGCCTTCCTCGACAGATCGATTACACTGGTTCGACGACGCGCGCGGTCGTATGAGTGTTATTTTATTTTATTTTTTTTTTTCGTCTTCATATTCAACTGTCCTATCCCCTGACACAATCCCTGACGATTCCGCTTCATGTGCCGCACGAAAATCGTGACTGTGACGGCTGATAAGGAACTCTGTTTCCCGAGGGTTAATTATATATTTATTTAAATGTACAAGACAATTCATACTATCACTCACTTTTTTCCCTCATTCCCCATCGACCTATCCTTTTATAATCAGAAAATTAAATATACATGCATAATTAATCGTAAAATAGAACTCAAAGTTCATTAATTCCTTTAACAATTCGAAATTGCGATGAGAGTGTTGTTATTAATTTTAATTGATGGGGTTTGAGTGAGAGAAAAGGGGGATCATTGATTATGATTGATTAGGGGATGGTTTTGTTTTCGATTATTTGAAATTCCATTGCTTTCTTGTTCAGGTGGAAGTGTCCGCTATAAGTACAGAAAGCCTCATTCTGTTGTCCAATGGAGAGGATTACCACTGTTCTTTTCCCTAATACGGTATAATGCGATCAGTGTGAAGCTCTTGCACGCTTCGGTTATGTCTTAGTTGCAACATGTCTGAGGGTTGGGTAAGTCTATCGTACATGTGCACATATGTATAATACATCGGCTGGCTAACCAATCGATAGCGCTTCTCTCCTGTACAGGGGAATGGGATTCACATGGTTAAATGAGTCTAAGCCATTGTGCAGCTAGCAACATATCGTGGTGCACCGACTCTTTAATTATCAAGCTTCCAACGCTATTTACTTTTCCTGTGTTTTTACTTCATGTCTAGGCAAATCGCTTGAATAGGTTTTTTTTTCCGGTCTTTAAACCGGTTATTCGAGAGAAAAATTAAATGACAGGGCGAATTTTCAGGGGACAATAATCCACCATTTTCTTAACGGATGGACGGATGCAGGTTTTTCAATCGATACAATTGTATCATTTGGGTTAGGATGGGGAAGCCCAAAGAAATGTATACCGGATATATTCTCGGATACTACTAGTCATCCATACTTCCGAAGAATATCTAAATTCTATTGTCAAGATGACAAAAGGTAGAATCTGGGTGTTGAGTAGGTTAACTAAATTTTTTAGATTACTCATACCTCTCATTCGTTCGAAAGTTCAACTATATGTGCACCTCTAATTGCGTTAAAATTGCGAATATTATACGTGCGTTTCTTGAACGGTGAATGATTAAAATTATTTCCGCATGATTAGAATTTCGAGTGACATATGTTCTACAATAATTGGGGTACCGTGGTGTATGATTATTGAACGTCAATTGAATATGGATATCAGGTAAAAATAGTGGACCTAGATCTCATATTAGCTGACAACTTTTTGTTGATCAATAGTAATTTCTCGTCCAATGTTTTCTCATTAGTGTATCTGTTGGTTATCTTCAGCAATATTTCCAAACTATTTATCTAATTATTTTTGAAATATATGATATATAATACGACTGATCTCCGCAAAGCGTTTGTCGTGTAGATTTTGATATATATGAGTGCTGGTGGGGTTGTGAACGGAAAAAGGGAATGTCGACGGCTTTGACATCACCCGGATTTGGTTGACTATTAGTATCATCGTCCACCCTCTGCGCCCTTCACCGCGTGGAATTATAATCCACCCTTTCAGCGCTTCCGACGACTCCCGAATGTCATGCTTCCTCCCCCTTTCCCCCTATCCTACTCTGCTTTCTCATTCCTCTTTTACAGTGACAAGGGGAGAATGATTCTCACCGCTTTTCCCGCGATCGCAACTTGCGTTTAACCTCGACAAAGAGAAGGACTTGAACTCATATTCCCTCAAATAATTTGCCACTGATTTGATATACTTATGAGAGAGATAGTATTTTTCGTTATCGAGTAATGGAATGAATTATTTATTTTAATTTACCTTGTGATCTCTCTTGAAATGTATGAAAATTGGCTAGACTCAGTATCAGAATAATTACTTTCTCACTTGCCCGAGATAATAACAACACTTGCAGAGAGTATTTATATTACTTATAGAAATTAATGAAGATACTTGTGAAAAGTAATTGATTCTCTTGGTACAATGTGGAAATTAATTGCGGCCAGTTTTCAAACTTTTCCCAAGTAACTTGCCTCGATGTAATTCCTCCAAAGGTTTGAGTTTTAAACGTTGCGCATGGAGGTGGATAGCGAAAAAAGAAGAAAAGTTGAAAAAAAAAAGATGATGCCTTTTAACTTTAGACACCCGGATTGAGGGGATGAAGCGAGTGAAAAAATGATCTTTATGTGGTCGTAACGGCTTGCGGTCTACTAATATAAAATTCAGAGCGGTGAATAGTGGCACCCTCAATGTTAACGATAGGACCGCCCTGATGCATCAGTATGCTAATCCCATGATTGGCTATGTTCCAACCTCATCCTATCCCAACTTCCCCATTGACCCTTCTCTCGTTTTTTATCCCTTCAGTCAGAAGCTCTTTTTCTTTGCACTTCCCTTCGCTCTGTCTATCATTTGAGATTCAGTTTACTTGCGGTTCATGGAATTGTATAGAATTTTATCACACTCCTTGAGCATTTTTCACCCTTACATTTCTTCAAATAAATTCTATTCTATTGAATTAGAAATAAAAATTGCGAAAATCTAAATTATTCATAGGAACAGAGAAAAATTCTTTAACGACTTTAAAATTCACTGAAACGTCTGATAAATTTCATCAGAGACGTGATAATTAAATGATGGATAAACCCCTCATTGTAGTTATCCCAAGACCGCAAAAATGCTTAACCACCCCTTCCCCCTCCTTCCCAAAAAAAAACGCCACGGGGTATCTTCTACATAGTCACCGCTAATGTCATCAAAATCCACTTGAGTTCACTCTCGGAGTTTAGCAGGCACTATCAAATTGAAATAGCAATTCACTTGGGCGTTATATAGGAATATAATGTCGTATGACTATGTTATAGGTTACACCATGGTGGTTGATGGCATAACCCAACAATGGCCCCAAGGGGCGAGTCGACATAAGCCCATAAACTTGCAATATTGAATACAAATGGACGGATCACAACTCACTGGGGGGTGCAAATGAGACCCGAAACGCAGAGGGTTGACACAGGAAGAGTTTGGGTAACTACCCACTGGGATTCGTGGTGAGGGAGTCGAAATATATGAGTTGTTAAATTAACAGCTTTAAAAAAAAAAGCTTCTCTACTATACAACAATTTTTTAAACTATCAGAAATTGAAGTGATTAAAGTAACGATAGCGACCATTTTTATAATACCGGAAATTTCAGAAAATGAGTGAGCCTGTAGTCATTTCTACCATCGAAGAAAGTTGACAGCATTTAATTTTTTAACGAATCAATATAGCAGTCCGGGAAAGAATTCAAATAGACACGTTCTTACTTTTAAATATTTCAAATCAAAGACGGCATTTTTATCAGGGCAGTTTACCTGGGCTTAGGTACATGGTATAAACACTGGTGTTTCCGTACTATACTTTTTCCATGTTGAACCGATATATTTTTTCTTTAATAGTTTTGAATAAATTTTGAAAGCGATACTCACTTTTTCTCTCGCTTTCCCGCTCCCGTATCTCGGAATCCTTTGGCGAAGGGGTTGTTATCAATTTTCAACTGCGTTATCTGCAACACAAATAATTGCATTTTTAAATATAGTAGGAATAGAAAAGGTGATTAATTGCCCAAAGTTTTCAGCCCATTGTATACCAGCGGCTCTTCCCAAAACCAGATTTTATGGCGTACACATTCATAAATCAAATTGATACAGATAATTTTTTTTCAATGAACACACAAAAGATAATTGACGGAAACGCTTTGATTGCCATGAGGATGTCATCCGAATCATAAAAAAAAAGGCGAACAGTGAAAGCCTTGTGTCAGCTTCTGAAAAATCTCCGGGTTCAACGAAATAAAAGCATCAAAGCATATGATAGATTAAAAAATCGCAGAATGAACGCGATAGAAGTAAAATTGTCTTTCCGTTTGATTTTTATATAATGTTATTATACATCTGATTACGTCGAGGCCGTACCAGGTCTATTTATTACCAGCTTTATAGTATAGACTCATGAAAAACAGTAACACGATTGCTCTGAGATCAGTAGTATCGATTGTTGGGGTGAAACTATAAGCGCATAGCATTCAGCATAAAATAGGTAAATGACAAAAGGTATCTATGAATGTTTTCATCTGTGTCTTCGACGAGTATTGAACTGTCCGAGGTTATTGTCTATAGAATTGGATGTGTATTGCCTTGAAATTGGGATTTGAATATTTATATCGATAAAACGAGATGATGATGGCGATGTCGATAAGCTGGTTAAGATTTAATAAGATTGATTTGCAAAATTACGCTTCAATGGATTATTCATAATAAATTGTTTTACTCGGAATATTATATTGTTTAGGTTCTCCCGTGAATTCTTGACAATTTCGTACGCGATAGCACTTTCGAAATTTTCGAAATATTAAAATTTCACTTGTCGTACTTATTCTTGAAATAAAAACGGATTTTAATTCCTTGAACAAATCTCATCGGCCGTTATTAATACTAGGATGAACACTCAACTAAATTCTTCAGAGAAAATAATTTTAAATATAATATACAATTTTTTTCCGAAGAAAATAAATATGAGAAGGGAATTGATTAATTTTCATTAAGAGCATGAAGAATTTTCCATGTTTTTGAAAATAACTGAAAAATACTAGTGCAAGCACGATCTTTTGTTTTTTTTTAAGAAAAAGATTCATTCCTTCAATATTTTTAAATAATCTACAAAATAATTTTCGTTTCGATTTTTCCCGGGTTATTTGAAGAGGTTTAGTATATAGTCGTAGGATTTGGTGGACCCCCACTCGTCCCATTCCCCAAAAACGACAAAATAAATATTGACAAAAATTAGAGCTAATTCGTTGGTCTTCTGCTTTGAACTTCCCAAGGAGAGGATAGTTTAGTTGGAACAGGCCTCTTGGAGTAACTCCAAAGGTGTTTCCATAAAACTTTACTTTCGCGCTAGGATCTTTAAAACTCCACTCTTTTTTTCTCCTTCTCCCTCACTTCCATTTTGCACTCCCCGAGCAGTTCCTCACTGTTTAACTTTCCTCGACAGGTCAATATTGAATTCTACTGGCAGCGTTCAACAGAGGAGCAAAAAAAAATTGGGGGAAAAGAGACAATCGGGGGAAAAAAAGGGAAAATGAATAAAATTTGGAAATTGCTCACTTTTTCATTCTGGTAGGCTGTTACGGCTATGAATTCCGTTTCCTTGAAGACGTAACTTCTGAATGTTGAGTACGGCAGCGCGAGCACATCATTTGCTCGAACGAGGTGGAACCTTGGCTGGTACTTGTGCATCGAATTTAATATCGTCTGAAAAATGAAAATAAAAACCTTTTATGGGATAGACTGCTGCACATTTTTTTATTTCGTTACATAAATCTCTAATTCTAAATGAACAAATACTAATTTAATTTATCAGTTGACTTAAAAGATGCGAAGACGACTTAAGTACCTCCTCACCTCTCATGATATCTTTTGAGAAAATTCCCATGTACATAAAATAATCATCTCAAGGATCAAATAATCGGAGTACTTCAATATGAATATGTAATAAAAGATATGGCTTGTTCGTCACTAACCCATCATGAGCTTGTATGCCCTTATGGATTCAGACTTATTCAGAATTTTTACAATGTCATATACCACTCTGGTTATTTTTTCAATGGATTGTGAACCAAAGCGGCGTAACACCGATAAAGATAAAAAATGAAAATAAATAAATATGTGAGCGGAAAAATGCGGATTTCGATACGCGAGCGAGTTTGCAGTGGCCACTTGGATCCAAGTTGAAGATAAGGAAAAGACAAATGGGTTAGTCAGATGAATGGCAATAAATGAAATATTTGAGAGCCACTTGAGCCAGAAACGATTGGTGGTCGGCAGACTACAAAGGGTAAATAATTAGTCTCTGACTAAGATAGGTCTAATCTACACGTTTGTCATTAGCCTATCAATGGGTTAAATGCCTTTCCACTCGTTCTCTTTATCCCCCTACCGTGCCGCCATTTGAGACGTGGAATAAGTCCAGCACATGCGGTGCTCGCTAATTTTATACTGTGAAAATTAATGAAATCAATTATTCTCCTATTTGATTATAAATTTTCCATTTTTCATCCATAAAACTGTGTGCGTACAGGATGGCAATGGGGAAAGTGTCGACAATAAAGATATAAATACATAATTATACATAGAATGGAGACTGTACGAGTGTTCGGTGCGCAGAGAGAAATTTATTCTGAAAATTACCCTAACAGATAGTAATCGTGTAGTGCAATGGCAACTCAGGAATTTCAACCAGAAAATCCAACGAAAATTACATAACGTTGAGCAAAAATTGTGCAAAAAAATGGTAATACTCACCTCACTTTTTATTCAGATTTTCTGGTTAAAAAATTATGCATCGCCACTGCGTTACATGATTACTACCTGTTGGGGTTATTTTTCAAACAAATTTCTTGCCGCCGAGTGTGAATTCGGGCATAAGTGGATGGCGCAGTAGATAAATAAAATCGTTAAAAAGATTATACTATAAGTAAATAATTAAATAATCTAAGAGGAAGTTATGAAGAGATCTGCGCATTCACCATCAATGAGAGTAGAAAATCAGAAGAAAAACAATTGTCCACATTATCATGGGCTATTTATATTCATTTATAGTTATACTATTACGCTACTATGGCATATCCAGGTTTTTTGCATGAATTGACAGGTATGAGATGAAGAGATTAGGGATAATCTGTTGTATATATTAATTTGTTTAAGCTGCAACATGAAATTGATAGTTTCATAATCTAGGCGTAGTTGCATTGTATTGATAATACACACAAATCTATATATAAAAGGGGAAAGTCCCCACAGAACATACACACGAAGAAGCCGACAGAGTTAATGACTCTGTCCGTTGTAATCTCAGGGTGTTATCTGTCCCAGCTACCTGGGCCCACCTACTTAGAATCATGAGTGAGAAACTAACGTGAAACGAGACACAAAATTTGTGTCTTTACTACTTTACTTACTCATCTGAGCTTAATCTCTTCATTTATTATCGGAGAAGGCTTCCCATTTTATTTCCGACTTACGTGACTCATTCGATTCATTGGTTCATTTATTCATCTCACATGTGGTCAATTAACAATCATTGTCATCATTGATATTAAACCATTATTCATTCAATTGAAATAATCTGTGAGTAATAGGAAATTGTGCAGAAGAAATTTCCCATTGTAATTCTCTCAACTCTTCAAATTTGAGAAATATTTCTCGGTAATTTTGGGGTGATGGTAAAAGAAAGCTCTGCACATTACATTTGTTAACGAACATTACCATTATTATAATCAGTGTTTTTCCTAAAAAAATTGATGACTGAATCTCTATGAAGGTACCGCGGGGAAAATGATTGATAAATTTTGAAGCTCGTCTGATACTTGAGGAATTATTTTTCCACCTCAAAGTCAGTCAATAGAATTACCGGAGACAAAACTAGAACGAAAAAAAAAACGAAATGTTATTCTGTTTTTTATAATTGACACCGCCAAGCTGCCAAAGAAAAGTAGCAACAAATTATCAAAAAATTATTAGTTGAAAACCGTCTTACACCTCATAACGTCGAATGCAATTCCATTGGACAGAGTTAAGGTCGCAAGAATATTAATTAAAGAAAAAAAAATACACTTTAAATTTTATTTTGAGAAAATAAATTATTAAGAAATAAACATATAAGTTTATAGTGTCTTTCTTTAGGAGGACATGAACTAGTGGCGCCATCCCGACTCCAGTGGTATAGGATAGCGAAATACCATACACATACGAGAAAGAAAGAAAAAGTGAGGGAGAGAGGTTACATAGTGTGTAGGTGGCGAAGGCACCGGTCTGTGGGGGTCGTATGGTGAGGCGTCCCCGGGCATATCGACCGCCCAAAAAAGGGGTTGGATTTTCCGGCCAACATTGGGCTGGTTATAGAAAGTGGGGAGAGGAGGGTGAGTGAGAACCAGAAGGCGGAGGCGACATGTTCCGCATTCGATAGTGAGTGAAACTTGAAGGGGGCGGGGGTGAGGTGAGAGGACGTACACGAGTCATGAGTGTGTACGAAGGAGAGAGTCACCCGACGCCATGACGCACACATGAGGTCGACGAACTGTTTTTCAAAGAAATACTATTCTCTATTTTCACCATTTCCCATTAAATACTTCATTTGTATTGCAGGTTGATAAATATTTTTAAAAAAAATACTCCTGCCCAGCGGCCGGGATTTTCTAAAAAAAAAAGAGAAACATTGCACTTTTCTCCCGAATGTACTGAGCACCAGTGTTTGAGGTCGAGTTGGGAAAAAGTGTAGGCAAGTAATGATCTTACTTGTACTGAGTAACGCATTCGTATTTTCTGAAAGTCACGATTTTATTTATAAAAAGTACGAGAAATAATTACACGCAGTACTGAAGTACTGTAGTCCATACAGGGAGTAACAAAAAAATCTTGTAAGAAGTGTTAATGATACTTTCAGAAAGAAGCGAAAGTAAAAAAACCTAATTCGGTGTAGCCAGTATTTTTCTGGCTTTCTTCAAGTACTTTGTCTCAAAAAATATTGTCTACCATCGAAAACTGCTCTGTACAGTCCATTTATTGCATTACATAACCAGAAACATTTTCATTCTCGATTAATGTAAACGAAAAACGGAATAATACTATTGACTTATATAGCAATCAAAGTAGAAGTATAAATACTTGAATATGCAATTTAATTTAGCGAGTGGTTGTAGAAATGGTGAAAAACTTGAAAAACATGAGGTACAGAAGAGAAATAATTCTAAGAACATTCATACCCAATGGATTTACATAATTATAAGATCAGTATCAATTTTATCAGACTGCGTACGGATTAAGTTTCAACTTCTACCCTTTTATACATTTTCATCAGTAGCGTGAGAGGTAAAATAGCTTGATGCTTACTACTTTGTTTGTCTTCCATTTCCTCCCTCCATAATTAGTGAATCTCTTGATTCTTCCTAGCATCAACCTCGTTTGATCTTTTAAAGTGCTCACCATTTCTGGTCATATTGTCAATGTCAAAATTTCCAATTAATGATACTAAACGTTCATTAGTTTTTCAAAAATTTCGTTTTCAATCGAATATACACTTGAATCAATCCTGCGCGTACTTTAATCAAGTCGATGAAGGTTAGAACTGCGCTAGGGTAACGACAGAATACAAAAACTATATTCAAGCCCAAGTGCTTTCGCACTTGAATCACAGAAAAAAAAGAATTGAATGACGATAAATTGCGGGAATACTTGATCGAGACGTTTTTTTCCTCGAGTGATTTCGGTACTTCCTTTATGACGCGGAGCAAATTGTGGTGGTTTAATTCACAACTCATCAATATATCTTGTTTCTTATTAATATTTTTTGTGGACGGTAATGAAAACGTCGTTAGTGGTAGACCAAAGTTCCAAGACAAGGTCTGAGGAAGTTTTCCTCAGTTTAAAAGAGCTCTCGAGGTCTTTCAAACAGCGCATAAGAATGCCGAGACGTTGAGGCACTCATTAGAGCTTTTTCGTCACAAGTTTTTTCAACGACTGCAGGTGTTAAGAACATCTAAAAGTTAAAGAGCATTCAGCACTCTTTATCTTCCTTACTCCTTCTTTATTCGGCTAATGATGGAACAAAATTCTCATCAAAGATCAAATACCCGAAGGATCAATGAGCGGTTCATGATTCCCAAGAGAGTGCGGGGCGAAAAAACATCGAAAGGACCGTTTCCACAATTCTTTTTTTTTCCCTCATCTTTTTCCGTTTATAAATTTCGAAAGGAATGGAAAAAAAAATGAAAGAGGTGCACCCCCTTGTGGGGAGAAACGTTAAACGGAAATCAGCCCGTTTACATCGACTCCTACAAAGGATCTCTTCTTTTCTCTTTTCCTCCCCCTCTCCGGCCACTTTTCTATTGGAGTCGTGGTAGGGACAAAAAATTCCTTTGAGGTGGTATCAACCGAGCTTGCAATATCTTTGGTACGTGTACAAAAATAAGAGAGAAATAACGCTGGAGAAAATCTGAATGTAAAACACCCTACATACTGCTGTGAGCTGACACTTAAAGAAAATCATTGTCGAGTGTGAAAACATACATGGAAAAATATTCATGGGTCTGATAAATTCAAGGGTTTTCAATTTTCTGTTTGATCACGTCGATGAATATTTATAAAATGCAAAATCACAAGCAATTGAAGTTCACGTTAACGGGAAAATGGTGATTTTAATAAATTATTGAATACGGAAAAATTTGATAAACCATTTTTTCGTCGTTGGATAGATT